AAATATATTACAAAAAGTCTATAATGGTCTAAGAGTTTTCTTTAATGAAATTAATTAATTTTAACCTCAGTATTTCAAAAATAGTTTAATAACATTAATGTAAAATCATTGATTCGAAATGCTTTTAAATTATATTAATKAAATAAATAAGATGTAATATTTTTTATTTATTTTTTTTATTAGAGAATATTAAATCTATACACAAAGAAATAATAAGAATAAGTGCTATAATATTTAGAAAAACATGAATAGGGTAAGTGAGATGTAATATAAAATATAAATTAAATTACTAATTGTATAAATAGGCGTAGAATATAAATAATTAAAATAAGTCCTAACCTTTCAGTAAAATTTATTTTTACTCTATTCTCAAATCTATACATTTTATGAGAAACTAAATAAAACTAGGTAGATATACTTTCGACTCGATATATTATTACATTTAGTTTAATATAAAAAAAAATATATACTTTAGCTCTTTTTTCAGGAAATCAAAATGTTTGTATACTTTAAACGTTATTACGGATTTTCTAGATTTTCTGGATTTTCCAGATTTGAATATGATTGCATATATTTTGTTTTTACTTTAAACAGAAATATGAAAGTGAAAATCTATTTATATTTTTGAWCTTTTATTAAAACAGTCCACAACCTGGAATATTGAATTTATATAACAGCATGCTATTTTAAATTTCCGCGAGGGATTAACCTATATAGGTTGATTCAATAAGCATGCACATCCCGATTTTATGTATTGACTGTATTTTCAGTTATATTCTGAATTCTTAGGCTTTTAAAATAAGGCCGCCTCGCGGGAAAAGAGCCTGTAAATGTTTTAAAAATTAGTTAAGAGTTTATCAGTACAATATTTTCTTTAAATATACGACGGCAGTATAATTAATAATACAACGTGTAGTCGATTCATCCCTGTATAATATAGAGTATATATTATACACACACACACACACACACACACACACACACACAAATATATATACATATAGAGTGTAGTTGAGTTAACAATGGTTGGCGAATGCGCTTATAGTGGTAGGCGCAGCTTCAGACGCAGTGCAGTAGTTTTATGTAAAAACAATAAGCAAAAATAAGTAATAACGKTTTGTTGATTTCTGAAGACGTTTATTCGGAATACCATAAAATATGAATTTACAACATTATATGATGTGTAGTGATGGCGAAAGATTTAGGTGGGTGTTGAGGAAAAAAATTATCAAAAAGAAATTCATAATATAGTGTGAATTTCGTACTAGGTATATTGTATTATTATTTAAAAATAGATATAATATAATATATTATTTTCATTAAACATAATATTAAATACCGTTTAAAAATATAGCTACCTATCTGTGATTACTTAACCCCTGTTCCTGTATAATGGCTGTAATACGATTATGCCTGTCTTACCTTTTTACAAAAAAAAATCYAACATGATTGTGTTCCATGAAATATAGATGTTGACATTTGTCCTTACTTTTTTAAATAATTTTCCGATGYACAATTTAAAAATACAGTTGGACTTGGTTAGCATGAAGTTGAAGTTAAATGTTCGAGGTATTGACGATTTCGAATTAAAAAGGCAGTTAACCAAGTTCGACTTTCTTAAAACATTGAAATATTTATTATATTACTCATAGATCTATTTTATTTAGACAAATATAAGTATTTAAAAAATATGATTTTTAATTTTTTGTGCGTTAATAGTTTCAAATCGGTACTGTATTACGTCATGTAGATACTAATGTTTTAATCTGAAACAATTTTTAACCATACCAACAGTTTAATTAAATTAGTCTTAAGCTTGTAAAATT